ATCGTAAATTTGACAAAAAAAATTAATTCTTGAACTTGTTCGCGGTATTGTTACAGAAAATGTTTAAAGGTCGTTACGGTCCTTAGCCAATAGAATGGGCTATAATTTTGAAATTAGATTCCATTGAAATTTTTTTTTCTCGATTTTAGAATGTTTACATGTTTACATAGTCTCTCTTTTCGTTATTTCTTAGCGAATTTAAAAAAGTAATTATTCCTTAACTTAGGTGTGAATGAGTTAAATTATTCAGTTTCGCCACTTCAAAATTCGGCACTACAATTCAAGGCAACTCGCCTGCAATTTTCAATCTAAAAAATCGCCAATAAAGTTAATCAAATTGAAAAACCGTTTGAACACGATAAAATATTCGTTTTAATTATTTTTTTTCATACCTTATCCTCTTCTGAAATGATATAGTAAGTTTCACTTACCCAATAAATACATAAAATCTGTAAATAACAGTTTGCCCCAAAAAGACTACACATCATATTAGAAAATATTATGTCAAAATGGAAAAAAAAATCATGCAAAATAAAACATTACTATTGTACAATCCAAAAGTCAAGATGAAAATTTCTAAATTTATCATTTTAACGCGATTTTTTGATATTACAAACGGACGTGGTTGTGGTTTTACAAACGAAATGACTAAATTTGATATACCCTCCTTTCCATGTATTCTTTTGCAAAGTTGCAAAATGGAAAATTCTTCGCTCTTCTGGCTTATTTAATTTTTCGAAAATACACAATTTTTTTACCTTTTTTTTTGACAAACCAGCTTATTGCTTAAAGGGGTTTACGCGGATATGATTTGTTTACTTTTTATAGTTTAGTTATAAAAGAGAAAAAACTGCCTTGCTCTCTAATATATAAGTTGGAGGACAATTCCAGGAAAATTTATGAGACAAATCATCTATATTTTTGCTACTTTTAATTTTTTATCCGTTCCTCAACGGCAAAACAGACACTTTTGATGAATATCATGGTATGTTTTATACAACGTAAAGCAGATAGACGAGAGAACTCTAAAATGAACAAAGAGAATTTAATGCATCGAATGTCTCTGTCTATATGTACACAGTTCTTCAAGGTACATAAGTATCTCATTACAATTCAAAATATCTTCATCTGACTGGGTATTTGATCATTTTCCATTATTTCATATCATATGATATGATTTCGAGTTCATCACTTACCCTTTTTATAGATACACACCTTTTGCGAATTAGGTCGGCACTCGTAAAATTTCTTTGAAATCACAAAATTCCAAATTACTTTGCGAAACCCCGTATTTATATCGACGATTTTCTGCTGAAGGGGTTGACGCTATACCCAACCGAATATTGGTTGGTACATTTCAAAGAAACTATACGAAAAGGCAGAAATTGTTATACAATACGAAATTTCGACAAACCCCATTTTAAAAATTCTCACTAAAATCAGCAACTTAGAAATTACTAAATCAATCAATATATCGTTATATGGAGGCCATAAGAAAACGATGGACACATGTAGCCCTTCCTCAATTCCATCGGAATATGGAGTGGGGACAATTCACGTACATCAATATCTTAGAGTATATTCTAATCAAAAATGGGTGATTAAAACTAAACCCTGCATGATTTCAGGGGGAGACCCACCCTTCTCCAATCCCAAAATATAGCGAACGGCAAACGGTATCAATGATTGTATATAAGTTCTTTATTTAAAGCTGTACATCCCAACACACTGAGCATTCATATCCTAATTGCTTTCACAGCCGAAGGTATTCCCATTCAACAAATACACAACCCCATAAAGAAAATTAAAAAGAATAAATCCAACAAACCATTTTCTCTTCTCATTGATTGCCTTTTTGTTTTGAGGCTACGTTCATTTTTGGTTGTTGTTGAGAAAAACGCCTTTTAAACAATTTCAATGAGTTTAATTGACATTTGACCCTAGAGCTAATAACCACAAATAAACAAGAATGTGCATTTATTACAATGATGAAATCGATCGCAATATTACCCGGCTCCACAGCTGTGGATATTGTGTTTAGTAGTGGTCCTTACAGACAAGCCCTGGTCTCAATACCAATATTAATTAGCAAAGTCTTTGTGATTTTTGAGTTAGTGTGTGCCTTAATTTACAACACAAGGACATCACTTCAAATCCAGCCTTTCTCGTTTCCCATTAAATAAGAAACACGCTTGTGTGTGTGTATTACGCAACGACCCACACACACACAATCTCAGTGAATGGGGTGACAATGATGACCAAATGTCATATTGTGAGGTAAGGGTCATGTGTGAAGTAATTCCATTTCAGAGGATAATACATCATTAATTGCACATCATTGACACCTTCGGAATGCAAATAATTGTAAATAACAAATAGTTTGAAGTAGACAAATGAGTCAATTTCAGCCGATTGCAACTAATGACTAATCAATTTACGAAAGAAGGCGAATATCAGTCTATGTTTCTTTGCGAGACTTTGATTGTCAAATTTTATAAGATAAATGACTGGAGATTTATTTCACAATGAAGAGGAATGTTTGCCGTTTAAAACAAAAGAACAGTAAGAGAGGTCAAAAGTCGGGCGCCGCCTACTATATGATACCCTACACTACTACGCATGTTTAGTAGAGCTCTCGCAGAAAAGAAATGTGTATTGGGAATTTATGTGAAGTAGATCATACCATTATTTGAATGAGTATCATGGCTTTAGAGCAGTTATAATTTGGTTTCAGAGAACAATTATATATGTACGGGAGGTATATTCAGATATATTCTGAATCGATTTTCATCAAATTTGACGGAGGCATTATACCTCTCATACCAAATAACTCTGGTATAGAGTGCGTGGTATCGCTTCGAGAAGGGTTACATTAAATCCAGTAAAGAGAGACAAAAAGCCGGGCGCACCGACTTTGTGATACACCACACCACTTTGCATATTTAGAAGAGCTGCCCATAACAAATAAACGCTTTCATGGGAATTTATGACGATTCAATCATACCATCGCATTATGGCTTTAAAGCAGTTATAATTTAAGGCCGAAAGAAACAATATATATGGGAGTTATATACTCCTCTGAATCGATTTCTACTAAATTTGACGGAGCCATTTGTGTCTGAACCGATATTTATTAAAATCTTTCCTATTTGAGGTGATATTGCACTTCCAGGCACAATAAACGTGCCAAGCCTGATGCGGTCTGTACAAAATTTAGCAGAGGCATTTCTATACTGTATCCGATAGCTGGCAACAAATATCGTAGTTGTGGAGAACATTTTACGGATTTTCGCCAAATTTTATACAATTTCTTCTAGGCTGAATTCATTTGTATGTGCCAAAATCCGTACAATTTGGGTCTATATCAAAAATTTGGTGCCCAATAAGCTTGAAATCGAGCTACATCCAAATCTGAACCGATTTTGATAAAATTTTGCAAAGGTATTTCCGAGCTGTACAGGGTTAGATAAAAAACTGCAACAAACGCTATAAATTTTACATTTTGTTTTTAATTTTATTGAATGAAAGCAAAAAATGTCGAAAATAGCATCAAATTTTAGAAGAAGTTGTTTTCAAAAATACTCCAAACACAATAGTCCAATGGATTGGTGTCCGGAGATTTTGGTGGCCATTGTGCGCTAGAAATAAAGCGAGGAATCTCATTTTGTAACCATTCTTGGGTGGCGCGTGCTGAATGCGATGGTGCTGACTCCCGTGGGAATATCCCAGCCAAAATGTTTGCATGCCCAAGGCTTAATACACCCTCCAGAATATTTTCGCGACAATATTCGGTATTTATTCTGATGCCAAGGTCGATTAATATGAGCAGAGAGCGACTATCGGCTGTTATGGCGGCCCACACCATTACCATGGTACATGACCTTACCGAAGGTGCACATTTTCAGCTGACCCCTTTGGCAAGTAAACACGATCATTTTGTTTGTTTACAAACTGTCGGCAGTTCACCACTTTCGGCCAAGCGAAGCAATTGTTTAGCTCTTTTGAGCTATTTTCTTTCCGTTGCGGTGTAAGTTCTTGCACTTTTTGGAATTTCAATGGCTTTTCCGCGTTTCAATTTTCAATATTTGCTGAATGGAATATTGCGATATGTTCAGCTCATGAGCCATTTTTCGGCCACTGCGACGCGAGTTTCGATCAAGTCGCTTCTTTACTTTCGATCCATTAATGCTGATGTTGCTGTTTTCTTCCGTCCACTTCCTTGACGTCGGGTTACGCTACCAGTATCACGGTAACGAGCGATGGTACGAGACACAAAAGATTTATTCACATTTAAATGCTGGAATGCTCTAACGATAGACACTTGTGGTTTTCCAGCCAAATATAAAAACACTGACACTATCACGCTTGAATTCCATCACGAATAACTTTTTTCATCTGTCGGAAATTTCATTAGTTTGGTGCATCAAATATGTTAAATCGGCAGAATATATATGGGAGCTATATATATGTAAATTGGCAAATACATTTTTCTATCAAATTCCGTTACACATTTCTAATTTGAAGACTATATCTGCAACCGATCAATAGATATGAGCATACAAAATATAAATTTTTTGGAGGTACCTCCGATTCTGATGCTATGTATCAAGTTCCAAGTGTGATTCCAAAAATGTATACAGCCTGTGTTACTTTCAGGCGATGCTGAAATTCTGGAAATTCTGTTCAGCAGTTTTTGAGTCCATAAATTACAAACAAACGTACAAACATTTTCCTCTTTTATAGATAAAGATAACGGAAGGACAGATGGACAGACGGACGTCCATAAATCGACTCAAAAAATTATATATCTCATTTTCTTTTCTCTGTTACACACAAATGCACAAAGACATAATACCCTGACCACAGTGTGGTGTAGGGTATAAAGATTGTACTAATTTCAGAACAAAAAATGTTACGCCCGTATGTATACGTTTGTTGCATGGTCAAGGACCCACAAAAGTCCTTGGCTTAAAGCCTGCCGATAAACATTTATTACACATACATATTAATAATTTTGTGTACATACACGGCATAGTTTTTATTTTATTTGGTTTTGAATGAACTCTTAAATTTGCGTTTTTAAATATTGGAACACAACAACATAAATATAATAATAAATTAATAAAACAGTACAATAGGAACCAAGATCCTTAAAATAAATATTTAGAGCTAGTTTCTATATACATACAGATACATACAAGTAAGTAAATTGTATTCGAAAGTTAATAAGGCCAACGTTTACGTTCGGTTCTTAAACCGAGTCTTTTTTACAATTCTCTTCAGAGACCAGCTAAGATAGGGGTATGAAAGCATGACGTATGAATTCACGAAAAATTATGAATATGTCTGTTTTTATGTTTAGTGAGGTACTCGCTGGATGTACATCGTTAAATGACTATAAAGACGACGAATGGCTAGTATAATGGCACTGGTCAGTAATCAACGAACTCAATTAAAAAATGATTTTAAGAGCAACAAGTAAAAAACCCTCCACCATTTGAAACTTTAAAAATTTCAAAAAAACTTCCGGAAACTACCACTTAAATGAAAAATGAATTGCGAACTTTAAATGCCAAATTTGAAACAATTCCGATGAATAATGTCGCTAAAATCATCAAAATACCGAATATCGGGAGCTACCGTTATATGGGGACTATACGAAGACGTGGACCTGCATACAAAAATGTTTGTCATAGACTGTAGTACCCATTACGAACTTCAAATACGAAATTTTAAATAATTCCGGTAAATAATGTCGCTAAAAGCATCAAAATACCGAATATCTGGGGGTGCCGTCATATGGGGGCTATACGAAGACTTGGACCTGCATAGAAACATTTAAATATGAAATAATTACCTTAAAAACTGCCGCTAAAATTATGAAAATTCCGAATATCGGGAGGTACCGTTATATGGGGGCTATAGGAAAACGTGGACGGATATGGACCTTGAACCTAAACTGTGATATGCGACCTAATTAGTCTGGTAAATAATTTTCCAGCTTATTTCTTCAAGTTGTTTTCCCTTAAAATTGCCTACACGTTTTACTAGTTTTTTTTCAGGTTCTGGTTCTCTTGTAAAAAGTTGCCAAATATGGTTAATAAAGTAGTAGATTCCTGCAAGTTCTTGAACGGAGCTATACATAATTATTCTTTGTTGTCAAAAGGTTTCACAGCCAGTCAACGTGCTGAGATCACTTTGTCGTCTATACTATTCATTTATCGATGCACACACATACATACATATCTAGTTCTAGGCTATATTTTCATTAAAATTGCATCTGCTGACTAACAGTTTTGGTCGATTGATGGATAAGTGGTGACATAATACTGTAGCCATCTGGCGTCGTTGGCGTTAGCGAGGCGTATTGTTCGGAGCTCTCTGCCTGATTGCTGTGATCCATACCGATGCCAACTGATTGGCTAGCATTTTTATCGCTGTTGGCAGTGACGTATCTATCAGTGATAGACGTTTGGACTACTACGTCTAAGCTTGTGTCATTGGTTTGCGGCGAACATCTTCGAACATTCGTTAACAGTTCAAATTCATCACATTCGGGCTCTGGCATCTCCACGGAGGCGCTTGGGAATTCCAAACATGCAGTGAGAAGACTGGGATACTTCGATATGTATTCGATTATGTCGGAGGCAGTGGGTCGTTTTTTGGGATCGCGGTTCCAACATGCATTTATAAGAGCTTCTAGTTGCGGTTTGATTCCGACCGGTACCTGCAACGTATTGCCACTTTTGACATACTCCAGAACTTGGTTGTTGGTCAGTCCCTGATATGGAACAGAGGCAAATGTTATTATTTCAAAGAGCACAACGCCGAACGCCCATACATCAGATGCCGGTGTAAACATACCGAGGGCCAAGGCTTCTGGTGCCATCCATCGTACGGGCAACATGCCCTTGCGGTTAAACCGATAGTAGTCGCTCTCATATGTGGGACGAGCCATGCCAAAATCGCCCAGCTTAACTGTTCTTTGGGCACTGACCAGACAATTTCGACAGGCTATGTCGCGGTGGACGTATTTCTGTTGCGCCAAGTAGGCTAGGCCTTTTGCCACATCTACAGCATACATGGTAAGGCGCTTCGATGAAATATCGGAATCATCGCTAATTTTTTCGTTTACCAAATGACGACGAGCCAGAAGATAGGTCTTAAGGTCTCCATAGAGCATGAACTCCATTATAGTGTAGATGGGTTCCGATTGCAGACAAACCCCCAAGAGTTTGACAATGTTCTTATGATTGAAGAGCTTCATCGCCTGAGCCTCCGACAAAAAGTCTAGACGATCTTCAGTAGAAGCCCCCGTTTTGAGGGTCTTCACAGCTACCGCAGTCCAGCCCTCGGCAGGAATGAAGGCTTCACCGCCATACACTGTGCCGAATGCTCCATCGCCTAGTTTCCGGTTAATGACAACATTTTCCTTTGGCACCTCCCATTTGTCTAAGGTGTTTGCGCTATTGTTCGTCGGCGAGAGCAAATCTATACCGAAATTCTTCATGATCCTGGCCGATTCTTTGAGTTTTTTGTCGTACCGACGTTTCCAGAAGAGAAATGACACCATGGACACAATCACTACCGCTGCCAGGCAAACAATTGTTGTAAACGTCACAGTTGCCTTTTCACAGTCCGTGTTTAACATTTTGGCCAACGACGAGAAGGTGCAGTCAAAGGTCCCGTCACTTGGTGGTTTAGCGTCAGACAACCAAACTATGGGCGTCTGGCCCATTACCAACTCACCGCCATTGGTCCTCATGTTTCGTCCGCTGCTAATGATTTTTGGTACATATTTCTTAACTACGAATGATTGATTGTTGCGCCATTGCATGACAATCAAATCGGTTATTCTTGAGCCGCCTTGTCCAAAACGTACTCGACCCGAGAGACCCTGAAAATCGGTCTCCCAAATAATGTCCACCAGCCGTTCCACCATGGACTTTGATTTAAATGTTCCCACGACGTCTTTATTTTCACGCAAAACTGTGTCGACCGCCTTGGCATACACCCAGACAGCGTCATAAGCGAATGCCGTATACTGGGAAACGTCTTTTACATTGCTGTGGTATGAATCTATCCATTCTTTGATCGTTATGTTCTCCTGCATCACGGTATAATTATTCCCGAAGGGAGAGTGGGTAATGCTAAAATGTCCCTCGAATGCCTAAAAATACTAAATTAATTTTACAGCATGGCCAAGCAGCAACCTAAACTAACCTTCTGCAATTCTGCGATCGTGCAATTGATATTGCCCTCTGCAGCCAGAGCTGCCAAGTCCTTCGAGAGCCATGATGGCAAAAACCACACATATCCCTGATACGCAGTCATCTGAAATGGGGAGTATAAGAACAGCAAATATTATAACATAATTTCCTAAAACTTAAATTAAAATATAAATGTACCTACCTCCAGCTTAAAGGCCTCGCATAAGGTCATAGCTGCATATTTATTGTGAATATCGGCAATAATAATTCTAGCATGTCTCTGTTTTAAGTCTTCCAGATGCTGAAATGGGAGAGTTATTTGTATATGAAATTAAAACAAGTGAAGAAAGGTTAAAAGTCGGGCGGGGCCGACTTTTTGATACCCTACACCACTGTGCATATTTATTAGAGCTACCGTTACAAATAAACGTTTATATTGGGAATTGATGTGAAGTGGAGTGTATCAATTATGAATATTTTTCGAATTCGTTTTATGACTTTAAAAAAGTTATAATTTGGAATTAGAGGGAACTAATATATGGGATGTAGATCCAACTCTGAATCGATTTCCACCAAATTTGCCTCTCGTACCAAATACCATTGCTATAGAGTGCATTATATGACTTCGGGAAGGATTATATTAAAAAATATATATCGGAGCAATATATATATTGGAACCGAGTTTCACCAATGTGAAGTGAACTTCACCGACCTTGAAGTATTTGCTCCTAGAATGAATTCGGTCTTATGTGTGAAAATCCACTCCATTTGGTCTGATATTAACAATTGGTGCGGAATAAATGTGAAATCGGATGAAAATATATATGGGAGCTTTATACAAATCTGGAACGATTTTATTGAAATTTATAAGAGGTATTTCTAAGCTGTGTCTGATATCTGAAAACGCTCCATCAAGATACGACAACAAAAATTGATGTGTCTAAAAAGTTCAGATGTAAATTCCACATCATACACAGTCAGTTTTGAATTGATTCTGTAGCAAAGTTCTGTCAATTTCTATTCAAAACGATAGGGTTCTTCCCATAGTTTTTTCTGATGTTCTCTCCCGTATTTGTTTGTTACAAAAACCAAAGGGAAGTGAAAGTGGAATATATTTTTTAGTCGACAAATTTGTGAACGAGTGGGGAAGATATAGTTACAAAAAACAGGCTGTTAGTAGTCGTTTCGAAAAAAAAAAATAAATGCCTTCAGAATAATATTATAACTAGCTTAAGAAACATATCTTGGGAAAACATTGAAAAATATTGGAATATAGAATAATCGAAATTCGCGTGATTTTACAAAAAAAAAAAAAAAAAAAACATTTTCTAGATGACAATTTTCGCAAAAACTCAAAACAAATTTGTCAACAATAAACAGATTTGAGAAAACTTTGTGGTAAGAAGGTAGGACAGCTTCGTAAGTCTACAGAAATGCAACCCTGATGCTAAGCCCGCTTGTGTCCGAATTATTCACAATTATATGCAACCAGTTGTTTTTAACTATTTCCTTATTACATGCCGAAAATCGAAGGATGGGGCTATAGAATAACATTGAGAAAAACATTGACGAACATAGAAATTGTTCTGCTCCAGGAGTAGAACACTTCATAAAAGCGTGGACCTTTATAGACAATATTCTTCCAAAGGAGGTAGAACCTATTTTGAAATGTACATACCGAGTTTTAATTTATTCCGGTTGAAAATGTGGCTAAAATTGCCAAAATACCAAATATCTAATTATATGGCGTCTATGCAAAAATATCGACATGTAAAGACAATGTTATGCTTCAGGGAATAAAATCCATTATGAACTCTATATTTCAGATTTTGACTATTACGTTAGAAACTGTGGCTAAAATCGTCAAATACTGAATATGGGGAGGGATATAGCTTATCTTCGAACTTGACATGTTTGCAGAAAACTCTCTTACGTTTAAATTGTTATTCCTCCGCCAAAAAAAAAAAATCCTAGGGTTTGAGAGATACTATTTTGATATTTTAGATGAATCGAAAATAGTGGGTTGTGGTCAATTTTTCTTTCCATTAAAAACCTAAGTTAAGGTATGACAAACTTTTGAAAAAAATATATCAAAATCAGTTTAGCCGTTCTGAACTGGTGCAATTACCAACAAACGACATCTAATTTTAATACATTAGCATTTAAAATTACATTGTCATTTTATGTTCTTTTTGAGAATCATTAACGGGACGAACAGGCTATAAGTTTGCACAGATATGTGTTGAGGACAATCGGCTAGTCAAAAATTTATTTTTCCCTGTAAAATATACGATAATTTAAAGAAATAAAATAAATGAACTAACCTTTCGCATTTGATGAGGATTGACTTCATTTAGGAACTTTTTATTCGCAATCAGTTCAAAGTTGTTATTCTTCAATGTTGTCTCCATATGTGAAATGTATTCGGTGTACTTCTGTCCATCTTCAGTTATAGCAGCGACGCGCCTCCAACCGAATTCTTTCATCAGACTGATATAGAGATCTTCATATTGTCGATTTGAGCCAATTGTGCGGAAAAAGAATGGATACGCTTGCCGGTCGATGAAGGAAGCACCCTCTGCTGAGTACGAAATCACCGCCATATTCGTGTGTCGCGATATACCTGCTATGGGTTCAACAGTCTCACTGCAGGCTGGGCCCAAAACACCCACCACATCGGGATCATTAAAGTAGTGAATGAAGGTCCTCATGACAATGTCGGCCTTGCACTCGCCATCGTTCTCCAACACACGGAAGTCGTAGTTAGGAAGAATTACGGTACTGCCATTGATTACATTGGCGGCTCTGCGCACAGCTTGAATAAGATTTTGATGTCCCCGACTGTCCTCTAAAATAGGAAAAATACCTCCGACCGACAGTGTTTTACGCTTCCTCAAAACCCACGTACTGTTCTCCACCGATTGAGTCCGCAACCAGCGGCACGCTACATCATCGTACATCTCATTTGTGATGTAGCCTTTATGACTGGCGATTCGTCGTCTGTTTACTTCATTGTAAAGATATCCCAAATCCGGAATCCAGAAGTAGCGCAGGGCGAACATCAATCGTTCATCCTTGGCAACACCCTTGGCATAGTACTTTATGACCGGTGTCAGTTCATACTTGCAGTAGGAGCGAAATAGAGAGAAAAACTCCTCACATTGTGGCAGCGTAATGTACTCATACGAACTGCCAACGACATCTGATGGAATCCAATGCAAAATCAAGAGTCGTTTTTCGGAGTGTCCTGACGTGAAAATGGTATTCAATCGATCTAGTTCAGATCGAAATCGTGGACCAAGCCAGAGAACATTGAGATAGGCCTTCATTTCATCAATTTGGTGTTGAACAAAAGACGTGTCATTTTTGTATTCGGCCAGAAGGGTAGCACACCGAATTGTTCGACAGAGTTCGCCTTGAAAATACTCTGAGCTGTGAATGTAAGATCACGTACAATTAGGGTCATATACAGGGTCATACACATGTCGTCCATTCTTACCCGTTGCTCTGCAATAAATGTTTTATTTCAACTTCGTCCAACACAAATTGGTCGTAAAGTGGATTTGTGTGATTGAGGAAAATGGAATAGTGAAGCGGGTGAGCTGGCATGCCATTACGTCCTGGAGACGCAAACCAACCAAAACGTCCAGGGAACATCGAGACACCCGCCGCATGGACATTTTGCGGTTTGACCGAATGCCCTTGGGCGGGTGTCCACAGACCTACATTCATCATAAGAATATTCGGATTACTGAGAGTAAAAATTAAGAAAAGAGAGAAAATTGATACATATAAAATATTTAGTGCCAACATAAATCGAAAACTGCGTCAACATACATACTTTATGAGGTCCATAATATGGGTGAACTTCTTAGCTTCGTAGTTGGTGTCGTTGAGATCCCCATTGAAGGTAACAGGAAACAAGTACACATTTTTATAATTTAGGACGTCGCGTAGGAATAAAGCAAATATTCGAGAGATGAGCTGGTGCGATGGCCATGACATCACTTGTAAACCAATCTTGTCCATATTCGGAGCAAATAGAGGACTATCTGAAATAAAGAACAGTGTAAATGAGTATAGAGAACCACTTTGGCATATTCATAATGTGTGTTTATCGATTAGTAAACATAGCGTCGGTGTCATGCTTAAGTGTTCCACACGCTACTTTTATACCCGACATCACAATGTGGTACAGGGTATTATGTCCTGCTGCATTTCTTTGCAAACATGGTAAAGGGAACGAAAACTCATGTAATTTTTTCGGATAATTAAACACAGTTAATTGATAATCCGGATTGATTGATTGATCAGCTGTATCAAATATATTATCAGAATACGAGGAGGCCGACACTTTTAACGCGGATGAAACCGCTTTATTTTTCAAAGAATTGTCTCCACAAGGCAAGTCATCTAAGGAGTGCGTAACATTACTTTTTATATGCAATGCCACGGGAAATTACAAAAAAGTTATTATAATTGGAAAGGCTTAAACCTCATGTTGTCTGAAAAGTTAAGTATGTCCCAGTATGTGACAGTAGATCTATGAAGCGAGATTATACTTAATTTAGAAGAAGAAATGGCTCTACAGAAACGAAACACTGTTCTGTTGTAGGTAATGCGTATTCCCACAAGAAACCCCAAAATTTAAAGCACATAAATCTACAATTTTTACCAGAAAATACAGCAATAACCCAGATTTACAGAAATAACCCAGCCCCTAGATCAGGGTATAGTTCATGCCTTCAAGTCATATTATAGGCCGAATATTGTTAGAAAACCTATTGTAGCTATGGAGCTAGGGACAACAGCTGAAAAGATTCAATTCAAGTCAATTAATGTTCTACATGCAATGCACATGATAAAGCGCGGTTTTTTCGATGGTTAAACAAACGTCTATTTAAAATTGTTTTAAAGAGGTATTAAAACTATCGGATTTTGTTATTGTACATGTTAGTAATGCTAGGTACAATTTTACAGGCGAAATTAGTGAAGACGTCCCACGCAGATGAAAATGTGGATATTGAAAGTTCCGATGAGTTTGAAATGGCGGACAATTTAAGAGAAGGATTTAAAGAATTCGTAACATGTGACGAAAACGAAGAATATTTTGGTTGGGTCTGCAGTTGAGGAGTAAGAACAACAACGGGATTGTCCAATAAAAAAAGATACATTCAGACATTTTTTGTACCGAAAACAAGTTCTTATGTGATGCTTATTTTTCGTTTTTAAATAATGAACTAAAAAAGTATTAATGTGTACAACATGAATTTATTTGTCCTCTTTTAATTTTTTAATCAATATGCATTATTTTACTACTTGCGTGAATGGAGGACCTGTATGTATATACATATGAATTGTTTTTATACCCTCCACCTTGGAAAGGAGGGTATATTAAATTTGCCATTCCGTTTGTAAAATCTCTTAATATTCGTCATAGACTGTCTGTCATCTGTTGAAATCTCTATACAGCCCACAATATTCGACGTAGAGCCAAAAAAAAAAATTGGCACAGTAGTATGTATTGTGTCTAGGTTGGTTGGTATTAGAAATGAGATATATTCGTACGTTTTCGTATACCCCCATGTTATTGTACCTTACGATATTCGATATTTAAATGATTTTTCCAAGGATTTGTCCAAAACAAGGTTTTTGTGGATCGTAATGGGTCCACCTACACTGATGTTTAGCCCTAAATAACGGTACATCTCGATATTCGGTATATTGATGGTTGTTGTTGTTACGAATTTGCCAAAAAAATGCATTTATAGTTCTTAATGGGTTCTAGCTTCGGTGGCAAAACATTGAATATCTAGGTACCTAATGGTGGAGGGTATTAAAAGCAGCGAACGAAAACCAACGAAACGAATAACGTACAGCTCACACGAAGTCACAAACTTTAAAAGTTCAATCGTTTGTACTCCAAACAAAACCCTAGACATTTCAATGCCATAAGTACACAAATAATACGATTGCTTTAATGTACTTCGGCTGTGAGTTACCGAGCTGTATTGTTTGCGATCGAATCGCCGGAAACGTTTGCTGTGCGAAATAATATTGTTTTGCACCTTTTTCATTGTATAGCTCCCACAAATAACTTTCATCCGATTTCATATTTATGTCGCTCAGAATCCTAAAATGAACTCTATAACAATGACATTGGGTACGAAGTATCAGATACAGCTAAGAAGTATCATATATATTCCCCTCAAATATTTTGTAAATGATACACCAACCGTGCTATGTTTGCCTATGTGGGTTCTGTGTTGGATCATACGATAAAATTCCATCAAAATTAAGGTCTGTCATATTTGGACCAAATTAATTCCTTTATAGATATATCTCCCATATATACGTTTCATGTTATTTTATATCTAAAATCGCAAACTCCTAATATACCCTCTAAATCAGTGACAAACATGTCTCGGTTTAATGATATTAGTTAGATTTTTCATGGTCGTAAAATATTTTTCGATAATATTTAATTCAAATATTGCTGAAATCTAATTTGTTACATTGTGGGCTATTGCTGACTTTCCAGCCAAATGTTAAAAATACATGATTTCTACTCCAAATGACACACGGACGAAAACAAAAACTGTATTAAAAGACACAGTCATTTCCACGAGTTCTCCACATAAAGGGTGAGATAAAAAAATGCAACAAAGTCAAAAGCCATAACTTTTACATTTACTTTTTTAATTTTATTGATTGAAAGCAAAAAATATCGGAAATATCATCAAATTTTAGAATAATTTTAGATTTGTTCGAATTGGTCACCTTTGGCGCGAATTATGGCCTTCAAACTGCCAATGAAATCGTCACACTCTACCCGAATGTTGCTCTGCGGTGTTTTGGTCCATTCCCGGCGAAGCTTGAGGTGATCGACACTTTGGTATTTTTTAGTGCCAACAATGCTTTCTAAAATACCCCAGACACAATATCCAATGGATTGGTTTCCGGAGATCCATTGTGCGCTGGAAATTAAGCGAGGAATCTAATTTTGTGACCATTCTTGGGTGGCGCGTGCTGAGTGCGATGGTGCTGAGTCCTATTGGAATGTCCAAGGTCTGCGGTCAAAATGTTTGCGTGCCTAAGGCTTCAATACACCCTCCAGAATATTTTCGCGATAATATTCGGTATTTATTCTGATGTCAGGGTCGATTAATACGAGCGGGGAGCGACCATCGGCTGTTATGGCGGCCCAAACCATCACCATGGAAGGCGCTTAAGTTCTGGTGGCCAACCGAAGGTGCACCTTTTCAGCTGACCTCTTTGGCAAGTATACACGATCATTTTGTTTGTTTGCAAACTGCTGGACAACGAATGTTATCTCATCGGAGAAAACCAAATTCGGCAGTTCACCACTTTCGGCCAAGCGATATATTCAGCGATATGTTCAGCTCACGAGCGATTTTTTGGCCATTGCGACGCGGGTTTCGATCAAGTCGCTTCTTTGCTTTTCGAACCATTTCTGCTGATGTTGCTGTTTTCTTCCGTCCACTTCCTTGATGTCGTGTATCACGGTAAGGAGCGATAGTACGAGACACAAAATATTTATTCACATTTAAATGCTGGAGTGCTCTAACGACAGCCACTTGTCGCTTTCCAGCCAAATATAAAGAAATCACGCTTGAATTCCATCACGAATAACTTTTTATTTTGGAAAATTCGCTTATTGTACGCTTGTAAACAATATAATGAGCTGTCACTGAAATAATTTTAACAGCAATCGGACGAGTGGCTTAGAAATGACAGCAGTCTGAAATTTGTTGCAGTTTTTCATCTCAACCTGTATATACAATGTTCCGCCACCGTAGAAACCCATTATAAACTGTAAATGTAACCACAAATACAATTTTTTAGACTACTTCGTGAAAACGTGGAACTATATATATGGCCCAGTCCGCGTTGCCGGGCCGTAGTTTTACTCTTTAATGGATAGTTTTTAAAGCATAATAATTCACAAATCTGGCTCACATAAGTTTGTGCCACTTTTTAGTATAAATGATGACTCGATTAAATAGAAATAAATACCTCTTTCAAAAAACCTGATCTTATTTTTCAGTAAGAGGTTTTAGTTTGAGAGTTAAAAACCAAAATAATATAGCATATATATTAAAAAGTATACATTAACTGTTTATAATAGGCCCATGTAAGATGGTTCTCTACTCCAAAGTAGCCTAAACACACATTTTAAGTCAAGTCGATTCAAAAATATAGTCAAACCCTTCGAAACATGTAAAATCAGGAGGTATTTTTATATGAGCGCTACTCCGAAACCTTGACATTGAAAAATTTCCGCGAAGAGGTCTTCTACCAGAAGCTAAATGCCAAATAAGGGCAAAATCAATTGAAAAATGTGACCAAGAACTTGGTAATAGCTAAAATCACCAGGTACCTTCACATAAGTGTTGTAATGAAGCATGATCCTATACTTATAATTATTTGAAAAAAATTGTTTTTATACCCTCCACCATACTATGGAGGGTATATTAATTTTGTCATTCCGTTTGTAACTCCTCGAAATACTCATGTCAGACCCAACAAAGTATATATATTCTTGATCAGCGTAAAATTCTAAGACGATTTAGCCATGTCCGTCTGTCTGTCTGTGTGTCTGTCTGTCTGTCTGTCTGTCCGTCTGTCTGTCTGTCTGTCTGTCTGTCTGTCTGTCTGTTGTAATCACGCTATCTTTCGAACAAATTGAGATAGAAGGCTAAAATTTTGCACACATGTATATTTTGCCAGTAGGCAGGTTAAGTTCGTAAATGGGCCATGTAGGTCCAAGTTATCATATAGCCCCCATATAACTGTACCTCCCGATATTCAGTATTTTTATGATTTTAGCGACATTATTCGCCGGAATTGTTTCAAATTTGGCATTTGAAGTTCGTAATGAATACTACAGCCTAAAACAGAAAATTATCTGTGCAGGTCCATGTCTTCGTGTAGCCCCCATATAACGGTACCCCCCGATATTCGGTATTTTTATGATTTTTGCGACATTGTTTACCGGAATCGTTTCAAATTTGGTACTTGAACTTCGTAA